ACGAGAAAGAGAAACCGCGATATCTTCACGCAGAATCGATCTTGAAACGTCTGCGATTTGGAACGGAGAAACTCACGATAGTTCCTACGCGACGAAAATACTACGATGGTCCGCGAGCATCCGGACCACGTTCTGCGAGACCGTTCTCGCGGCGGCGGCGACGACGACGATGACAGACAAAGATGGCGAGGTTCGGGCGCAGACTACGACACGCAGCATTACATATCCAGCAAGGACGAGTTTAGAGCAAGAATGCCGAATCGATCGGCTGCTGAAAAGAGCGCGGAAACGCAACACTCGAGAATTCGGACGGAACGATGCTTTAGGAAACGCGATAAATTATAATACGGAATTATCGCGCGATAATTCTGTTGGAGCATAAAATCGCGATTGCAGCGACCTCCGCTGCGCAGACTGCACTACTGCACTACTGCACTCACGAACAAACGGGCTGATTCTCATGATGCGATTACTCGATCTCGCAACTTTCATGCCTTTTAAAGCCCGTTTTTTATATTTGCAAGTTCTTTGTGTCTACTTGTTCTTTGTATTTGAATTATATTATTTTTGCAATCAATTTGAAACGCTGGACGTTAGAGGGGAAAAAGAGAAGAGATTAGAAAAATACAAAAAATTTAATTACAAAAAATAAACTATAATCACATGTATGTATGTACATACATATATACTTTGTTTTGGATGCTCACGCACTTTTTTAAGTGCTTTCAATTATTTTGTTCTTCAATTGAAGCAATCAAATTTGAATGAGCACATATAACAATAAGGAATAAGAAAAAAATCAATTTTTGTTAGATTTACACAAGAATTTACCGGATTTTTTATATAATAATGAAAACGAATGAAAAAAGATAACATTCTTTAAATTCAATTTTGATATTTTAGTCAAAGCTTTTAAGAAGATTGTGCACTGTTTCATCATATTTTGTTTCGCTAAAAAGTGTTTATTAACGATTATCCTTTTTTTCTATCTCAATGAAATAAATAATAATTATGTAACAGTGTGATTCATCATTAATAATTTGCTAAGCGCTAGCAGAGCCAAAGTAAATGTAATAAATAATGTTTACAAGCATAGACATTTGTCAAATTAATTTTTTCCAGATATATTAAAACTATAACTATATGTATATTATAAATGTATATTATAAATATGAAAAAAATATATATGTATATATATATATATACATGTATTACAAA